GTTTCTTAGTTTTATCATGAACAGGCAAGACAGGATTTCAGTTCCAGCTCCATGATGGGTTTCATCCTTACCTCTGATTGGTTGTTATTACACCAGCCCTCTGGTTGACTGTTATTCCAGCCTCCTCATTGGCTGTTATTGTAGCCCTCTGATGGGTTGTTAGCTGTCATTCTGCTTCTCCCTGATTGGCTAAACCTAGATAGGCACTTTTGTGTATAAAAAAACCCAGCACTGGCAAGTTTCCTAGGCAATTCCTCCCTCAAAGCCCCCCCTGACTGCTGCAGCAGGAGGTTTCTCACTTAAATATATCTTAGTTTGCTCACTGTCCCTGTCTGCATGGAAATTCTTCTTCAATATGAGACAAGAACCAAGATTTCTTTCATCATACCATAACAAAATTCCTCCTGCAGAGGCCAACATACAGTCCCCTGGATAATAAGGGCAGACATTTATGGAGTGGATCATCCTTTTTTAAATTGGGCTCTACCACCTGCTGGATCCCTGCAGGCAGAACCCTGGAATACCCCAAGCTCCTGGCAAAGTGGCAGTCCTAGGTAGTGCCCACGTGATTCCCCTGACAAGCTGGAAGCAATCACGGAAGACAACACCTTTACCCAAATGCCAAAGATTTGTCACTGTCTATCTGTTAAAGAAAAACATAGCAAGGGTGACAATACAAGTCTCTTCCTTACAAAGAGAGTCACTTAAATTGCACAAGAGAGGGGCATAAACTGGGAAAAGAAAAAGATAACCTTTCCTGAGCAAGAAGAAAACAGATGAACTTAGAAATTTACACACACTTCTGGGGCCAGCACTGTGGCACACTGGGTTAAGCCACACTGCCTGAGATACTAGAATTCTCCATGAGCAGTGGTTCAAGTCCCAGCTGCTTCACTTCCAATCCAGCTCCCTGCTAATGTGCCTGGGAAGACAGCAGACGATGGCCCAAGTGTTCGGCCCTGCCAGTCATGTGGGAGAGCCAGCTGAATTTCTGGGCTCCTGGCTTCATCCGAGCCCAGTCGTGGCTACTGCAACCATTTGGTGAGTCAACCAGTGGATGAAGGTCTCTCCATGTCTCTCTCTTCTCTGAAACTCTGCTTTTCACACAAAAATAAATAAATCTCTTTTAAAAAAATCTATAGACATTACTTTACCATAGATGAGACAGTGTTTTCCTTAAAGAATAATGTGAGTCAGTACAATAGTTTTCCATTTGAAAAAGGAATGATTCAGTATAAAAGGGAAGAAATGATGAAAATTTTAGAAATGCCATGTTAAAGAGAATCTTGGAGGTCTGGAACTGAAACAATCAGATATAAATAAGAAACTACGAAGAGGATTTTGAATCTCTTCATGCATCCCAAGCCTCTGCAAACCATTGCCAAACTCTGAAAAAGCTACCAATGAAGGCAGTAAAAAGGAACAGAACAGTTCTGGAATGGCCAGGAAGGTGAAGAGGACCAACCCCAGAAGTTCTGTTAGCTGAATCTTGTAGTGATGAAGATAAAGAAAGTGAAGCGGAACCACCAAAAAAGACATCTAAAAGAGAAAAACAGAACAGAGTTGCTGCTAAAAGTAAGATGTCTGTAGGAAGTGCTAATGCTAAGAAGGCAGACAGCAGCAGCCCCAAAAAGTCAAAACAGTTCCAAAAAAGGCAGTGAATCTGAGCACAGCTCTGATCGCATTCTTAATTTAAAATCTGAAGAGGAGACCGAGCTGTGGCGTAGCAGGTAAAGCTGCCGCCTGTGAAGCTGGCGCCAACTCGAGACCCAACTGCTCCACTTCTGAGCCAGCTCCCTGCTGATGCACCTGGGAAGGCAGCAGAAAATGGCCAAAGTGCTTGGGCTGAACAAGATCAAGAGGTATTTATCCTAGGGATGCAAGGGTAGTCACAGAAGAAATAAAAAAAACCATTTGCTCATATTGAAAGATATAGAGGAAGCGTTTGATAAAATTCAGCATTCCTTCATGTTAAAAAAAAAAAAAACAAAACTCCAGTTTGGTAATACAAGGAACATACCTCGAAATTATAAAGGGTCTATATAACAAACCAATAGGAAATATCAAACTGAATGAAAAAAGCTGAAAGCATTTCCCCTTAGATCTGAGACAAGACATGGATGGCGGAACCAGCACTGTGGCATAGTAGGCAAACCTCTACCTGCAGTATGGGCATCTCATATGGGCGTGGTTGGTCTCCCAGCTGATCCAGCTTTCTGCTTATGGCCTGGAAAAGCAGTGGAGGATGGCCCAAGTGCTTGGAAGAAGCTCCTGCCTCCTGACTTCTGATTTGCCCACCTTCAGCCATTGCGGTCAACTGGGGAATAAACTCTATCTCTCCCTCTGTTTGTAACTTTGCCTCTCAAATAAATAAACACATAATCTTTTTAAAAAAAAAAAAAACATGGATGTCTACTTTTGCCATACTTACTCAGTATATTATTGGAAGCTTAGCAATAGTAATTAGTGTAGAGGGCATCAAAATTGGAAAAGAGGAAGTCTAAGTATCCATATTTGCAGATGACATGATTTTGCACATAGAAAAACCTAAATACTCCACCAAAAAAGCTGTTAGAATAGAAAGGCCAATTCAGTAAATTCACAGAATATAAAATCAACATACAAAAGAGAGTAGAATTTTTATACATGAGTAATGATCTTGCTGAAAGAGAAACTAAGAAATATCATACACATAGATTAAAAATTATGAATAAATTTCACCAAAAAAGTGAAAGATCTCAAAAAGGAAAATTTTAAAACACTGATGAAAGTAATCACAAAGGATTCAAAAAATGAAAAGATATTGCTTTTTGTTGATCAGAAGAATTAACATCAATATAATGCCATACTATTTAAAATAATCTGTGGGTGCAATGAAATCCCTATCAAAATAACAACGATATTCTTTCCGGAATTAGAAAAAGCAATCCCAAAATTCGTAATGGAACGACAAAAATCCAGAATAGCCAAAGGACTCTGAGAGGGAAAAAAATGCTGGAGGTATCACAAAACTTGATTCCAAAGCATACTACAAAGCTATAGTAATTAAAACAACATGATACATATAAACACACAGATCAATGGAATACAAATGACAGCCCAGAATTTAATCCACACATGTACAAAAAATTGATTTTTGACAAAGGTACAAGAAAACATATTGGAGAAAGGATAGTCTTTTCTTTAAAAAAAAAAAAGATTCGTTTATTTATTTGAAAGTCAGAGTTACACAGAGAGAGGAGAAGGAGAGAGAGAGAGAGAGAGAGAGGACTTCCATCTGCTGGTTCACTCCCCAATCGGCCACAACGGCCAGAGCTCCACCAATCCGAAGCCAGGAGCCAGAAGCTTCTTCTGGGTCTCCCACATGGGTACAGGAGCCCAAGGAGTTGGGCCATTTTCTACTGCTATCCCAGGCCATAGCAGAGAGCTGGATCAGAAGTGGAGCATCTGAGACTCAAACCGGAGCCCATATGGGATGCTGGCGCTTCAGGCCAGGGTGTTAACCCACTGTGCCACAGAGCCGGCCCCAGAATAGTCTTTTGAAAAGGTGGTGCTAGGCCGGCACCATGGCTCACTAGGCTAATCCTCCACCTGTGGTGCCAGTACCCCGGGTTCTAGTCCCGGTTGGGGTGTTGGATTCTGTCCTGGTTGCTCCTCTTCCAGTCTCTGCAGTGGCCCAGGAAGGCAGTGGAGGATGGCCCAAGTGCTTGGGCTCTGCACCCTCATGGGAGACCAGGAGGAAGCACCTGGATCCTGGCTTCGGATCGTCACAGCATACCAGCCGTAGCGGCCATTTGGGGGGTGAATCAATGAAAGGAAGACCTTTCTCTCTGTCTCTCTCTCTCTCACTGTCTAACTCTGCCTGTCAAAAAAAAAAAAGTGGTGCTAGAAAAATTGAATTACTACCTTTCAGCATTTACAAAAATAGATTGAGGATGGATCAAAAACCCAAATGTAAGACCTGAAATTATGAAATTGCTAGAAGAAAATACATGAATAATCCTTCAGGACATTAATGTCAGTGATGACTTTGTGGATAAGCCTTTTGATAAAGTAATAGCAACAAAAATAAAGCTAGACTAATGGGATTGTGTCTAAATAAAATGCTTCTGCACAGCAAAGGAAAAAATATGAAGTGAAATCCAACAGATAGTAGAAAATATCTATAAGCTACTTATCTTATGACGGAGTCATATCTAGAATATAACAGGAACTCAAAAAACTCAACAACAAATAATTAATCCAGTTAAGAAATGGGCAAAGTACCTGAACGGACAGTTCTCAAAGAAGAAATACAAATTGTTAACAAACACATGAAAAAATGCCCAATGCCACTAGCCATCAGGGAAATGCAAATCAAAACCACTATATCATCACCTCACTCTGTTAGAATGGTTATTATTAAAAAGATAGAAAGTAACAAATGCCAGCAAGAACATGGAAGTAGGGGAACCCCTATGCACTGTTGGTGGGAATATAAATTAATACAGCCATTATGGAAAACAGTATGGAGATTTCTTTAAAAACTAGAAACAGAACTGCCATATGATCCAACAATCTCATTACTGGGTAAATATATAAAAGACATAAAATCATTGTATTAGAAAGACCCCTGCTCTACCATGCTTTTTATTTAAATTTAAAAAATAAGAAATATTTATTTTGAAACAAGATAAGGTCATAGATAAGAAGTGACAGAAAACTACCACTCAAGTATTTTCCACTCACAAAACAGGCAAAACATAAAAACATTTAAATTTCACATTGGTACCAAGAAGATTAACTTCCCTGCCTTCTTGGATTAGAAAGAGTAAAACTACCAATCAATAGTTTTGCAGGCATTTGAACATGCCTAAGCCTTTACATCAATAAAATACTTTCTATAAAATCTGATTACAAAAGCAATACATATTTATAAAAATTCAAACAGAATAAAAAGGAAAAATATAGAAAGTGAAAGACCCTGTAACCTACTATGGGACCCATCCTTCTACCCCATGCCCCCAAACGAAACCACATTTAACAGTTTTATTTCCAAAACATTTATTCTACACATACATAAAACACATGCACATCTTGAGTCGACCCATAATATGCAGTGTTTTGCTACTTAACAAACTTACTTTGACACTAAAAGTATCTTTGACATCTTTCCAGGTAAGTCATTACATGTTGACTAGACAGTGTTATATCATTGAATACCCTCTTTAAGACAACAAAATTGCTCTTTTGAAATCAATCACACAACTATGGATTTATAATTTTAAAAGAAAATGGGCAGATTCTTGGAACAAAAAGACAAGCATCTGGTTTTGGGTTTTTTTGTTTTGTTTTGTTTTTTTGTTTTTTGGGTGTTTTTTTTGTTTTGTTTTGTTTTGTTTTGTTTTACAGGCAGAGTGGACAGTGAGAGAGAAAGAGAGAGAGAAAGGTCTTCCTTTGCTGTTGGTTCACCCTCCAACGGCCGCCGTGGCTGGCGTGCTGCAGCCGGCACACCGTGCTGATCCAAAGCCAGGAGCCAGGTGCTTCTCCTGGTTTCCCATGGGGTGCAGGGCCCAAGCACTTGGGCCATCCTCCACTGCACTCCTTGGCCACAGCAGAGAGCTGGCCTGGAAGAGGGGCAACCGGGACAGAACCCGGCACCCCGACCGGGACTAGAACCCGGTGTGCCGGCGCCGCAAGGTGGAGGATTAGCCTAGTGAGCCACAGCGCCGGCAAAAGACAAGCATCTAAAAATAATCTTTTGTCTTTCCACCAGTGTGAAAAATAAAACAAATTATGTGATTGAGATTTATTTCCATGTTTCTAGAGAATGTTCCATTTGTTATGCCTATCTGAAAAGAATGAGAAACTCAGACGATTAATTCACGTACACTTAGTCACCATACTACCAATGCACATTGTGATCAGTTATAATTAGATGTTCTTTAAGGTTTCAAATAACAGTAAAAAAAAAATAGGAAGAAAAATACAGCTAATAACCTGAAAAAGCCAGAAATTCAAATTTTATATGGCCGAATAAAACATTATCTTTTTTTCTCTACTTTGGAGCAAATGCTAATGGAATTCAATGCTGATTACTTAAATTCAGCTCATATCACCCGTTCAATCAGGGAAATAACAGGAACACAACCAGGCCTACTGTGAAGTCAGATTAAGATGTAAAAATTTTTTGCTTGAAAGTAATGACTGTGTAGCACATGGGACATTTGTCAACTGCTTCAGCACATGTGTTACAAGTGACCAGATGTCCACAAGGAATAAAAACAACAGCAGTATTTCTGTCCATACAGATTTTGCAAAGCCGCTCCTCTTGCAGGCGCCTTAGCTGCTCTTCAGTGCTAACTTCTTTCTGCAAGGAAGCCTGACTTGATTCATCGTGTGGACTGTTTTTCTGAGCAGTCACTAGATCTGCAACCTCAAGTGATTTATAGTTGCTCCCACACCTCTGTACTTTTTCCTCCATCATTTTCTTAATCTCCCTGAAACTGAATCCCATTCTCAGAGTTTCTTGTACCACAGGACTTTGGAAGATGGGATCAACAATTCTTTCGGATAGTGATGGTATTTTCCCAGCAGCCCTTGCTGGAGACTCCTTAAGTGAATGGGTCAGATGAATATTATTGATGTACCCTTGTCCTTTCTTTTCTAATACATATTCACACCCTGGATACCACTTAGCATGTTGCTCCCAAGGATCATCACTGGGCTCCCAGTCAGTTAAGCCCCCTCCACAGTGAAAGCACTCTACTTGATCACCTTCACCTAAACAGTACAATCCAGCTCTTGCAAGCTTCTCCTTGTTAACTGAGTATCTCCATGATCCAAAAGTAATGATCCGAGCAGCATAATCTGCCATGGCTGGGTTTCTTGGAGGATTTGTTGAATCTGAGAAATTCCTATCAGAACTCACAATATTAAATTCACTTTGATTATTAACACCCCTGCCCACAACAAAGAAGCAAGTAGGAAAGTGCTGCCTGTGTTCTGACCAGGCACGATTGCCAGGTTCCCAGTTTTTCAGTTTTCCACCACAACAAAAGCACTGCACTTGATCATCAATACCTGTGTAGTAGAGCCCAGCACTGGCTAACTCTCTGGGAGTTAAGTGGACATAATCTGGCCAGTTCTGAAAGGACTCTAATCTAGCTTCTTCACTACACATCTCAGGGTTCCTCGGGTATACAGTGTCTGGGGTACCTACAATCTGTCCAGTTCTCAAAGGAGGGTCTGCAGGAGTCTCAGATGGTCCGTCCAAAGCAAAATGATTTCTGTTTCCCAGGTCGTCTGCACTTCTGTATTCACCATTTTGGACACCAGGATTTGTAGGTTGTGTGGCACTGTTTTCAAAATAAAAGCCATTGATAAATCTGCAATTTGGGGATACTGCCCTGTGTCTTCCAACTGCTGAGTCTCCGTACATGCACCTGTCCACTGCTGCACGACAACTAAAGCATCGTACAGTGTCTCCTTCTCCAGCATATAGAAACCCTGCTCGAGCCAGTGTTGCTGCTGAAACAGGACTATCACTTGGAAAACCAGTGAAGGTTCTTAATCTGTTAAACTCTTCTACAAATTCTTCATCTTTATTGCTGTCTGCAGACACACACGTTTTAGATCCTTCAAAGCTGTTAAACATCATCTGCCCTTGAAAACAGGACTCGTCCACCGCACCAGGAGACGCAGCACCAAGCGCCAGCAGTTAAACAGCCGAGTCACGAATGGCGGAGCAGGGGCGGCCCCAGTGCTACCCTGGAAACATCAGCTCTGCTCTGCGATCAGACTCCTATCTGTGCCTCTCACCCCAGCAGCTCTGGTCTGAGCGCCCCTCAGGTCCCCGCCGCCTCCGAGAGCTGGAAGAAGCCCCCTCACATCGCCAACGGTAGAAACCAGAACTAAGCCTGTGCACATGCGCAATGGGCACCCGGTAGGCGGTCGTGTTTTTGCAGCGCTGTTTATAATAGCCAATGTACGGAATAACACTGCCCGTCATCAGATGAATGGATTTTTCTAAAGCAGTATGACTACACAATGCAATATTACTCATCCATAAAAAAGAATGAAATTCTTTCATTTGCAGTCAAAGGAATGGACCGAGAAGACATCATGTTAAGTGAAATAACCCAGATACAGAAGGAGAAATATCACATACTATCCTTCATATCACAACTATCCCTCATATTTAAAAGCTTAAAAATGCTCAATATGAATATAGTGATTACTAGAGGCTGAAGGGGTTGGAGGGAAAGAGGAAACTTGGATAATGGGAATCAAATCAGAGTTAGAGCAAAGCAGCAAGTTCCTAGTGTTACAAGCACAGCAGGGAGACCATAGTTCACAATAACCTAGCATATAGTGTATGAACAAACGGAAGAAAGAAACTCCAAGCCTCTGTTTATAAAGTAACATCCATGGGGAAACACTGATTACTCGATTTCAATCAGTATACAATGTATATATGTACGGAAATATCATATTATACTTCATAAATATATACAATTATTGTGAATTAAACATTTTTAAATACTTTCCATAAAAAATTAGACACACAGGGAGAAAATGGTCATTTAACTAGAGTGGTGTACCTGTAAGTCAAAGAACCCCAAGGATTGCCAGCAAGAAAATATTCTTCCCTAGAACCAACAGACATCCGGGCCAACACCTTGATTTCAGCCTGCTAGCCTCTAGTACTGTTAGACCATCATTTTCTGTTGTTTCAAGCAAAAAAAAAGTCTTTGCATTATAGAATAGAAATGCATAAAATTGATATGTGTTAGATATATTTTCACAGATTTGACATGTTTTTTGAAAAGTTATTAAGACATTATAGAAAGAAATATTTAATACAGATGAGTGGAATGGGCAACTAACTGAGGGCTTTGGTTTTAATTTGTTCTTAAAAATCTTGTTAGGGACTGGCACTGTAGTGTGGCTGGTAAAGTCACTGCGTGCAGTGCTAGTTTCCCATATGGGTACAGGTTCAAATCCTGGCTGCTTCACTTCCAATCCAGCTCTTTGCTATGGCCTGGGAAAGCAGAAGACAGCCCAAGTCCTTCGGACCTTACACCCACATGGGAGACCCAGAAGAAGCTCCTGGCTCCTGGCTTCAGATCAGCACAGCTTTAGCCGCTGTGGCCATTTGGGGAGTGAACCAGCAGGTAGAATACCTCTCTCTCTCTCTCTTTCTAACTGCCTTTCAAATAAATAAATAAATCTTGTCAATAAAGTAATAAATCTAAATTAGAAGTATTAGGAAGGCCAGTGCCGAGGCTCACTTGGCTAATCCTCTGCCTGCGGTGCCAGCACCCTGGGTTCTAGTCCCGGTCGGGGCGCCGGATTCTGTCCTGGTTGCTCCTCTTCCAGGCCAGCTCTCTGCTGTGGCCCTGGAGTGCAGTGGAGGATGGCCTAAGTGCTTGGGTCCTGCACCCCATGGGAGACCAGGAGGAAGCACCTGGCTCCTGGCTTCAGACTGGCGCAGCGCGCTGGCCGTAGTTGCCATTTGGGGGGTGAACCAACGGAAGGAAGACCTTTCTCTCTGTCTCTCCCTCTCTCTCTCTCTCACTGTCTAACTCTTCCCATCAAAAAAAAAAAGTATTGGGAAAGAAAACACAAAAATACAAAATAGATAACATATCAACATAGTTTTCATTTATTCTAGTAATATTTAGTCTACAATAAAGGGTGCCTGATTCACTATATCTAAATGTTTCATAGATATCCCTACCCACAGGACAAGGTAAGGAAAAATGAATTCTAATTGGAAAGAAATAAAAAAGGTGATTACTTATAGAAGAAATGATCATGTGCACAGAAAATAAAAATAAAAATAAATTGCCAAAATCAATAATTGAATTCAAAGTAGAGAATACATGTGCAGTATATAAATGGAATTTCTATTGCTTTTTATCTGGACATGAGCTTGTTCATTTTGTAAAATTCACCATGCCATTCCATTATTATTTCTGCACTTTTATATATGTATGTTCACAGTTTAATGTAATGGTTATTAGAGTTAAAAGACACAGAAAAGCCTGGCTTGAATAATGAATTTTGAGTGAGCCTGATTATAGGCTTTGTACTGGCTCTGCTCCTCTTAATTGTGACTTTACCAATCATTTAATTTTTTGAATTTTTAAGTTTATATATTTATTTATTTGAAAGACAGTATGAAAGAGAGACAAGGTGGGAGTGGGGGAGAGAAGATGGATCTCCCATTCCGTGGTTTATCACCCAAATGCCTGCAACAGCTGGGATTGGGACAGGACAAAACCAGGAACCCAGAGCTGCATCTGGATCTCCCATGGGGGTGGCAGGGCTGCAAGTATCTGAGCCATCAAATGCTCCCTCTCCAGGACGCATTAGCATAAAGCTTGATCAGAAGAGGAGTATCCAGGACTGGAATAGGCTAGGCACTGCCACAACACTTGCCCTACAACTCATTTAACTTCTCAAAACTTTAGAATCCCTAAGTATGAAATAGGGATGACAACTATATAATAGTTTGGGGGAATGACAATTTATACATAATAGTTTTTGGGGAGGATTAAGTGAGTTAATGCATATAAAAGTGCCACATGGACACTAAATAAATATTAACTAAGTGTTGTGACACAGCATGTTAATCCACCACTTGGAACACCTGCCTCCTGTTCCGAAGTACCTTTTTTTTTTTTTTTTTTTAGTTAACAGCAGATTAAATTGCTGCTTGAGACACCAACATCCCATATCAGAGCACCAATTCAAGTCCTGGCTTCCCCTCATTCGATCCACCTCCCAACTAATGCTCGTGGGAAGGCAGTGGAACATGGCACAACTACTTGGGTTCCTCCCACCCACGTGGGAGTCCTAGATGCAGTTCTGGGCTCCTGGCTTCTACTTGCACTAGGCCTGGATGTTGCAGCCGTCTGGGGAATGAGTCAGCAGATGGAAGGTTTCTCTCTCTCTCTCTCTCTCTCTCTCTCTCTGATTTTCAAATAAGTAAATAAGGATGAACAACAATAGTAAATATTGCAGTAAACTGCAGCCAGCCTGCACCAACTCATAAGTGCCGTGGTTAAATTTCCAGGAATTTTGTGAGCCAATCATTCAAATGTTAGTAGCTTGAAATCAGACTTAGTGGGAGTATTTATCCCACAAAAATCAATAAATGCTACAAATCAGATTTCTTTTCCTGGTCTCTGGAAAGCATTTACCAGCATATCCCTAAATAAATGCCAGAGACAATAAACATCTTCCAAAATGGGAAAACCAGTGTTGACCCAGAATTCTACACTACATCAAGCAATCATCTGAGATTGAGGGGAAAAAAGTAAACATTTGCAACCAAACTGAAATTACAAAAAAAATATATTATCTCAAGATTCATGTCAGGAACCATACTAAAAGCTATTTATGAGGCTACTGCAAGAAGTTCATGGAAAATGGAATTACCAAAAAATGTGCATTTCCCAAAAGTTCTCTAAAACAAATATGTATATTTATACATGATCATATTTCTCCTGCCTCTTTTTAAAAACAACAATTATCTGACAAGCAAGGAGATAGACATTTATGCATTAACTCCCAATATGCCTACAACAGCCCAAGACCATGGGCCAGGAACTGAATTAACTCACTTGGGTGGCAGTGACCTAAATGCTAATGCTATCACCTGCTGCTTCCCAGGGTCTGCATTAGCAGGAAGCTGAGCCAGGACTTGAATTCAGGAACTCCTAATACGGGATGTGGCCACCCCAAGCAGATGTCTTAATTGCTGTGCCGAAAGTCTGCCCAGGAATAGCAAGTTTTATTGTAAGCTTGTGCTTCTACAGATTATTTCCTGCACTGCTGATTTCCAAATTTAAACAGGAAAGTTATTACCATGGTAATAGATGTAGTAAATGTATATTAAGAACCTACTGGGCCAGCACTGTGGTCTAGTGGGTAAAGCCGCCACCTGCAGTGCCTGCATCCCATATGGGCACCAGTTCAAGTCCCAACTGCTCCTCCAATCCAGCTCTTTGTTATGGCCTGGGAGCGCAGTAGAAGATGGTCCAAGTCCTTGGGCCCCTGTACCTGTGTGGGAAACCTGGAGGAAGCTCCTGGCTCCTGGCTTCAGATCAGTGCAGCTCCAGACGTTGTGGCCAAATGGGGAGTGACCCAGCAAATGGAAGACCTCTCTGTCTCTCCCTCTCTGCCTCTCCTTCTCTCTTTGTGTAACTCTGACTTTAAAATAAATAAATAAATCTTTTAAAAAAAGAACCTACTGCATGTTAAGCTACCCCTAATGCATCTTCAAGCATACTAAACTATATATCCATAACAAAGTCTAAAAATTAATCAGTTTATTCAGCCTGGCCCACCCTGAGCTATTGCAAGCCGTTAAGAAGTGAACCAGTGGATGAAAGATCTCTCTCTTTCCCTCTTTCTGCCTTTCAAATAAATAAAAATAAAATTTTTAAAATTTAAAAATTAAAGTTCTGCTGTTCTATTCTAGATGGACCTAATATTTAACATCATACCTGAAAAGATGATAACACACCACTGGAATCATCTTTCTTCAGTTTCAACTTGTTCCATTCCTCTGCCATCTCTACATCTCTATTAAGGACTCACAAGAGTCTATAAACCGTACAGACCTCTCAAAACAGCTTCCAATTAACATTATGGGCCTGATATTTTTCTTTATGAACAATACTTTGAGAGGTTTTGTCTGGAATGGGACTTGTCATTACTGCTTCGTCCCCATCAAGATGTTTGGAACATAACTTTCTGTACCAGACTCTAAGGACATGAATTCCCCTGGACTTTCTCTCAGTTTTTCTTTCCTAAAATTGAACTTTTAGTAATGCAGAGATCGAAAAAGGATCTAAAGAGAGAAGTGTGTGTGTGGAAGGTGCTCTCCAGTCAATT